CTTGATCTCTCCTTCCCTCTTGTCTTCGATTTTGATCTTTCTTCCCTAATTGAGCGATTTTGATCAGATGATGGAAAACAACGAAAACCCTAGCTCAAGTTGTCATCAAATCAAAGGCCAACGCACTTCACAGAAACAATACAAAAAATTTCAAGCGCGATAAAGGTATCAGAAAACTAGCTAGGGTTTAGAAGAAGGAAACTTACCTCAACGGGCAAGGAAGACCAGATACACAGAGTTCCGCCGTGCCGAGGGTTCCGCCGTGCCGTGCCGAGGCGAGCGAGCGAGCGAGCGCAAGGGTTCCGCCGTGCGCAAAGGAAGACCGGATACCAAAGGCGCAATCTCGCGAGCGCAAGGGTTCCGCCGTGCCGAGGCTTCCAGAGACACAGAGTTCTCACTCGGTCAGCACGATCTTTTATATCATAGGAATTGAGCCGTGAGGTCGGCATCTGATGGTTGGAGTACTGATCTGAGCCACACAATTAATCGAGCCGTGCTTGGGTTTGAGCTCGGCGATTGTGAACTGAATGTGAATTTGTGAAAAGGTTCGGGTTCGGTGAGGCTCCTCGGCTTGGTTCAACCGGATCGATTACTTGGTTGATTCGGATGAGCCTATAGCAAGGACATTTTACTGTAAAATTCATAAATAATATGTATTATCTTTATTATCATTCCTTTCCTAATAAATTATTATATTTTTTTTTAAAATATATATATATACTTAAGTTTAAGATAAAATGAAATATATATATATATATATAGATTTTTATTATAATTTATTTTGAAATACGATGAGACCTTAGTAATTTTCATCTAAAATCGTTCAAATTCTCATACTAATAATTTTATAACACCTTCAGGCTTATAGTAAAGTGTATATTTATTATTAATTAAAATTGAGTTATAATATTTTTTATTAGAGTTATAAAGTTTTGATTCAGTGATAAAAAAAATTATAAATCTATTCATGAATATTCTAACTAAGATTTTTTTTATATCATTAATTCTGATAAATAAAATAATATTATAAGATTTTTCAAGAATTATATGCCTTAATTTAAGATTATGTAAAAAAATAAACAAGGACTTATCGTCCTTTATTTTGAAATATATTAAAATATTCTTAATTTTCATTCAAGATCACTAAAGAACTCTCAAATGAAATATTTTATGAAACCTTGATACATATAAAAAGATTAACGATTAACAATTATGAGAATTTGAGTTAATTAAGGTTAAATTTTAAAATCATAATCGGTTTGGTTGAAAGTAAAATAGTATAATTTTATTTAAAAATAATATAATCGATTCGGTTTGACACTAAATCGATTTGGGCGGTTCGATCTAACTGGGTTTCCACGAGAAATTAAAAATTATAATAATCAATTATCAAATGAGTGTGTTAACCCAAAAATCTAAAAATTAAAA